TATCAAGGAAAAGAGATGAATTCAATATTTAGGTGCAAGGTTGAGCAGCCCTTGTGAGTGACTCATGGGAAGCATGGGAGGGTGTGGCGGAGGGAGGTTTGGGTGAAAGGTGTTACTATCAGCTGAGATAAGGACTATGGCAGAGCTGTTTTAGAAGGAAGATGCCGACAACGAGTACAGTTTGGGATACACTGACCGCAAGCTGACTCCCTGAGGTGTCTAGCAAATGGTCTGCATATATAGAAATCTCGGGTCAGGACAGTGACCTGGGCTGTAGACACTGTCAGAGATCCAGGAGTCATCTCAAGGCTGATAGGATCAGAGAGGATGAGGAAGAGCAGAATTCCAGGAAGTACTGATGTTCAGGGCAGGAGGAAGAAGAGCGACAGTGAGGGAAAGAGGCACAGAGAACCAGCAAAGTGTGCTTCCACAGAAACCAAGAGAACCTGGGCACATGGGCTAGTTTCATGACAGGTTGTACTGCTACTTATCTCGGGGACCACATCAGAACTTTCATGTGTGCCGGTCCCTGAAGCAGACAGCTACCTCTATTTTACAGAAGAATTCGGCTTTGAAGAATCATGAGGCTCCAAAGAGTCAGGCAGCGTAGGCGCTAGCCCTCCCCCAGTTAGAGTGTGGTACAGCAGATGTGCCAGAAGGACAAAGAAAGTCAAAGTGAAGGATCAGGGTTGAGACCTGGCTCAAGTGGAATAAAGGCATGCGCAGAGAGCCTAAGCCAGCACTTGGACAAACGGGGAAACAGTATTTCACTCTTACTTAGCCTTTTTAACCCTTTTAAATTTTTAATTATTCACTATTTTATTGGAAAGACAGTTTTACAGAGAGGAGAGACACACATACACACACACACAGAGAGAGAGAGAGAGAGAGAGAGAGAGAGAGAGAGAGAGAGAGATCTCTTCCATCCCCTACTTCACTCCCCAAATGGCCTTAGTGCCCACAGGAGAGCCGATCTGAAGCCAGGAGCCAGAAGTCCCTTTTGGGTCTCCTATGTGGATGTACAGGCCCAAGGACTTGAGTCATTCTTGGCTGCTTTCCCAATCCATAAGCAGGGAGCTGGACTGGAAGTGGAGCAGCCAGGACAAGAACCGGTCCCATGTGGGATGCCAGCGTTAGGTGGAGGATCAGCCTGCTACACCACCACACTGGCCCCTTACCCCTTAAAAATAAGCAGCTCTGCCACCTGCCACGTGCTTTCCGCCAAGTTGCTTGATTTTTTAATTTTTTTTTTTAAGATTTATTTATTTTTAGTACAAAGTCAGATATACAGAGAGGAGGAGAGACAGAGGAAGATCTTCCATCGATGATTCACTCCCTGAGTGAGCACAATGGCTGGTGCTGTGCCGATGTGAAGTCAGGAGCCAAGAACTTCTTCCTGGTCTCCCATGCGGTGCAGGGTCCCAAAGCATTGGGCCGTCCTTGTCTGCTTTCCCAGGCTACAAGCAGGGAGCTGGATGGGAAGTGGAGCTGCTTGGATTAGAACCGGTGCCCATATGGGATCTTGGCACATTCAAGGCGAGGACTTTAGCCGCTAGGCCACGCTGTCGAGCCCTGCTTGATTTTCTTGTCATTATTAAGCTAAACCATCTAGTCCTAGTTTCCCTTCCAGTCCTTAAATACAGTCTCTTCTTTTATGCATTTGTATGGATAATCAGAAGGTAAACTTAATTTCTTCCTGCAGCTACACAATGTACATATTAAAAAAAATTTATCTGGAATTTTATTCTTTTTAATGGCTTGAATAATAAATATTGCATGGAGTAGACGTACCACAGCTTCTTTATCCTCTCTTCTTTGGACAGGAATCAAGGTTGTTTCCATGTCTTTACTATTATAGATTGTGCTGCTGTCATGATAGGAACACAGACCCCTTTCTCATATGCAGACCTGATTTCCTTTGGATATATTCCCAGCAGTGGGATAGTTGGGTCATAGGGCAGGTTTATTTTCAGTTGTCTTAGCACTCTCCATACTGACTTCCACAGTGGTTGCACTAGCCTACACTCCCACCAACAGTGAAGGAGGGTACCTTTCAGGAGAGTATTTTGAGAAATTTTTCCAATGCTTCAGTAGAAAAATGTTCCAGCAAGATTCACTATGTCTTTTAATATGTTCCTATTCAAACCTCTCCTCCAACAAGACCGATTCTGTGTGTTTCAGTGGAAAATCATTAGACATCAATACAATAGCCCTGATTTGGCTCTTTCTGATTTATTTTCATTTCCTAACCTCAAAAAAAAATTTTTTTTAAAGGGAACCACTTTTTTTTTTTTTTTAAATAATCCAGTGCAAAGAAAAAGAGGCAACACTGACATGGTTAAATTCCTGGAATCCTTCGCTTTTCTGAGATGGATTAAATAACTGTTATCATCATTCATGAAGTGTGTTGAGATTGATGACATTTATGTGCAGAAACAAAGTTTACATTTTTATCTTTTAAGTCCATTTTCCATAAATCTGCTGAAGTCCCCTCATACGTGATTTGGACTCTGCCTACCGGTTAGGGTTGCACACGACGACCCTCAGCCATCTTTCCCTTCTCCAAATGCTCTCCGTCCTCTTTGGTTGCACAGGCCCCACAAGGCTGCCTCTCTCCTGCCTCAACAATCTCCCTTTCCTCCACTTGTACCCCAAACGTCGACCATGCTCTCTGAAATTCTCGTAGCACAGTAAATGTCTTCAGCCAATTCGTGGGAGGCTTGATTTTTGTCTTGTCTGAAATACCAAGATATTGATATCTTGAAGACTTCTCTAATAGAGATGACTTCTTTTTCATTCACTCCAATGCTAATTCCAGACCTTTCCTGTTTTAACACTGTTCATAAACCTTTGCCCCTTTGGGGCTAATGACACTTAGGCATACCACCTCTTATTTCTCGTCTTAGAAGTTGCCAACGAAACTTTCCTCTATATACCTCTCATTTAGAGATTTCAGTGAAATTCTTACTTTCTTTCGACTCAAGTCACCATCCTAGTTGATTCTGATGCCTACACGGTAATACCCCATTTCTCAGATGCTTCGGATCTTTTTCAGAATTATCTATTTTTATTGCAAAGTCAGATATACAGAGGAGGAGAGACAGAGAGGAAGATCTTCCATCTGTTGATACACTCCCCAAGCACCCCCAATGGTCGGAAGCTGAGCTGAACAGAAAGCAGGAGCTCAGAGCCCCCTTCAGGTCTCCCACGCAGGTGCAGGGTCCCAAGGCCCTGGCCACTCCAGACTGCTTTTCCAGGCCACAAGCAGGGAGCTGGATGGGAAGCAGGGCTGCTAGGATTAGAACTGGCGTCCATATGGGATCCTGGTGTGTTCAAGGCGAGGACTTTAGCCACTAGGCCACCGTGCTGAGCCCAGGTGCTTGATATCTGAATTAACTACGCTCCCTACCTGCTCTCGGACCATGCTGCTCTTGGGCTCCCACTCCATGTTTTTCCTTCTTCCTGGCAGCGCTGTCCTGACTTTCCCACCTCCTGCATCTGCCTTTCTCTTCCTGCTTTCTCCTTTTTATCTCTCTATTATCCTGCTTAGACTTTACAACTAATTAGAAAAAACTTACCTTGGCTCCAACCTTGTTAATTCTCTACTGCACGACTCTTCCATGTAGGTTAGAGGAGAGTAATCACACAGTTACACTGCCTGTTGACTATTCTTTCACCACCTGTATCCCCCATTGGATCTGTACGGCTTGCTAGATTTCTCTGCTCAGCATTCTTTTCTTACTACAACAATACTTTACTGTAATTCCTGAATTCTTCCTATTTCTTCTTCATAAAGAAAATCAAGGCTACTCAAATCTCCTTTTTCCCCTTGTCTCACACTGTTGGCATAAATTACTCATATATCTAGTCTTTTATATATTTATTAAAAAGAGAGAGGGAGAGAGAGAGAGAGAGAGAGAGTGAGTGAGTGTATTCCATTTGTTGGATCACTTCCTAAATGGCCACAACAATGAGGTCTGGGCCAGGCTGCAGCCAAGAGCCAGGAGCCAGGAGCCAGGAGCCAGGAGCCAGGAGCCAGGAGCCAGGAGCCAGGAGCCAGGAACTCCATCCTGGTCCCACACAGTAGCAGGGCTCTGGGTCCTTGCTGCCTTCCCAGGTACATTAGCAGGGAGCTGGATCGAAGAGGGCACTTGGGACTCTAACCAGCACTTTAATAGATGCTGGTAGAGCACCAAGATACTGGTTCCCAGCTTTATCTTCTGATGTGACAGAAATGTCATTTTCTTAGAGAATAACTGATCTTTTAACTTGGTTTTCAGGACAATCCCTTCTCTTCTATCTCCCAGGATTCTGTCCATGCTTCCTATTTTCCACCTCTTTGTTATCAAGAAACATTACCAAGAAACATGCATAAATTGCTCCACCAATAGCTACTCCGTCAGCTTTCTGATGTCCCGCCTCCTGTGCTGTCTCTGCTCACGTCCTGGTCTCTTCTATCCCCACTCATCCAAGGGCTGCCACGTGGCTTCAGATCCCTTCCCTGGAAGGTTCCTGTTGACGTGACAAGCCATTCCTGCTGCCATATTCACGGACAGCGGGCAGTCTTCAGGTTACTGAGCCCCCTCATTGACTTGATTTGTAAATTTCCTAACTTTCTCTAGAACCTTCTCTGGCTTCCGTGATAACATTCTCCTGCTTTCTGCCCCTCTCTTTCACTTCTGTTGACTTGTTTAAATGTTAGTTCTCTCTGATTGGGTGGAGGACTTCTCATTTTCCTGCTTACTCATTTCTTATTTTAGACCTCTGTATGATCTTCTTATCCTGGCTCCTTTGCTTGACGGGGTTTAATTCATAATTCACACCAGTATTTTAAGAATTTATCTTCAACTGCTCAGTTTGAGAAAGTTATCTCCTACTTAACATATATTTCAAAAGCACCTCCTATATAACATGGAAAATCGAATACCTTTACTCCCTAGTAATATCTCAGTTAAATACAATAACACATAGCTAAACATTTAATAATAAATCAAAATTACCTTTATCACCAAGGTCTCTGAAAAACGTTGAGCCACAACCAGCTTTTTGGATTCCCGCTAGTGCATCCTCAATGTCCTTTGAATTCAAATATCAAAAACTTTCATTAGAGCTTATAAAAGTTCACTTTTTATTTTGCCACAAACTGAAGCGCTTATATTTTTCTTACCTTTTTTGTCAGCTTCTTGACTAAAGTTTTACCTATAGCAAAAAAGAAAGTTTATTTAGTAACCTTATTCCTTCATAAAACTAAGAAAATCATTTAAAAGACAAAAAAACCCCCTAATATTTATAAAAAAAAAAAAAGGCTTGCAATCTCAGCTGAAATCCTTAAAACAAAATTGTAAGCCAGACAATTCCAATTCTAAACACAAAGATGACACAACGTTTGCCAAGTCTGTTTTAAATCTCACCCTATTTTAAGTGTGAAACCTCACAGGCATTTTTGAGCTTATCTTAGTTGTCTATGTCATACATTTTTTTCCAAATATGATTTCATATTTTTGTTTTTGTTTTCATTCATTAAAAAAGAAACACATTTATATTTTAGAAAGTCATCCTTGTTCAGAATCCTGCAAAGTTCTCTTTAGCACGCAATTCTCCAAATTCCAAACGCGAGCCGACATGACCGTTCACACTGAAGTCATGCTACCATAATTTCCTGTTGAATCACACAGATCTGGAATTCCTTCAAGTTTTCAGCCATTTTCTTTATTGTCTGCCTCATCATCTCAGCCATCACAATTCTAAAGCAACCGAAGTAATATTTTGTTGTTGGGGTTGGACTCACTCTGCCAGAACAGTGAAAAACGTTTTGTCTTACTAAGTCACACGCGGCATGAACTTCCCTTTCCACTCTGAAACGCTCTTCTCTGGGAAGTCCCTTAGTGCAGCAAGGCCGTTTGTGAACATCCAGGGCACATAGTGAGCACTTTTAGACGTGCCTCACTGGTAGTTCAGGCTGTTTAATTTCAATAATACAACCACTGGAGAAAATTGGACTATGTGGTGTTAATAAACTTTCAAAAATTATTTCTGTCTTTTTTTTTTTAAGATTTATTTATTCATTGGAAAGTCAGATATACAGAGAGGAGGAGAGACAGAGAGGAAGATCTTCCATCTGATGATTCACTCCCCAAGTGAGCGCAACGGCTGATGCTATGCTGATCCAAAGCCAGGAGCTAGGAGCTTCTTCTGGGTCTCCCACATGGGTGCAGGGTCCCAAAGCATTGGGCCGCTCCAGACTGCTTTCCCAGGCCACAAGCAGGGAGCTGGATGGGAAGTGGAGCTGCCGGGATTAGAACCGGCGCCCATATGGGATTCCAGCACGTTCAAGGTGAGGACTTTAGCGGCTAGGCCAGGGTGCCGGGTCCTATTTCTGTCTTTTAAAGTTAAAACACGGTGAATATGACTACACAGTTTTTAGAAATGCCAATGACTATATTTGTAAGTTTGGGTGTTACCATTTTGGGATGGTTTACAGTCATTGATGAACTTTACTGTGCCAGCCAACTCTACATCCTAACGAAGGGTGCTATTATGAGATCCTCAAATAGCTGAAGGTTACTATTTAACTTACCAATCTAAACATCTGAGTTTCTATGATGCAAACATACGTAGGAATACTGGTAACAAATTTCAGAAAACTGCAACATATGCATTCTATCTTTCTTTACAGTGTTAAAATAAATTGATCATGATTTATATGCCTTATAATGCTTTCCCTAAAGTTATGCATGAATTATTTACTAACATATACACTTTTATTTTTAAATAACCAAGGCTAGGTTCATTAAAAGATCTGGGCCTGGTGTGATGGCCCAGCAGCTAAATTCTTGCCTTGCATATGCCAGGGTCCCATATGCACGCTGGTTTGTGTCAAGCTACTCCATTTCCCATTCAACTCCTTATTTGTGACCTGGGAAAGCATTCAAGGACGGCCCAAAGCTTTGGGACCCTGCACCCGCGTGGGAGACCCAGAAGAAGCTCCTGGGTCCTGGCTTTGGATCGGCTCTGCTCTGGCTACTGTGGCCACTTGGGGAGCAAACCTGTAAATGGAAGATCTTTGTCTCTCCTTGTCTTTGTAGATCTGAACTGCCTTTAAAATAAGAATAAATAAGTCTTTAAAGAGATTGTTTTATCAAATTCAGAAAATATAAAATACCAAGAATTTGAGGTAGCAAGATAGTTTGTAAAATTTAAAGATCAATACTAAAGAGTCTTATTTGTTTGCAACTAGATTCCTTTTTAATCTTGTAAAAATCTTTGCATTAGGGGCCAGTGTGGCAGCCTAACAGTCTAATTTCTGCCTTTAGTACTGGCCTCCCATATGGGTGCTGGTTTGGGTTCTGGCTGTTGCACTGCTGAACAGGCTTCCTGTCTGGCCTGGTAAAGCAGCGGAGAGATGGCCCACGTCTTGGGACCTCTGCACCCACACAGGAGGACCGAAGGAAGCTCTCGATCCCGGCTTTGGATTGGCTCAGTTCCAGCCATTACAACCATTTGGGGAGTGAACCAGCAGATGGAAGACTATTTTTGTTATGTGCTTAAGATAAATGACAAACATGAGTGTACTCAAAAACTTAATAGAAAATGCACATTATCTTTTTAAAAACATGTCCTTCCTCTTTAGTTGAAGCTGACGGAGAATGAGTTCTAATCCACTCAGTGATTCACTCTTCCACACCCCAGGCTGGCCCAGGGCAAAGCCGTAGCCTGAAACCCCAGCCAGTTTTGCCCCTGGGTGGCAGGGCCCAGTGCTTGGCCCCCGGGGCTGCCTGCCAGGGCTGGCAGCAACAGGCAGCTGGGTCAGAAGCCGATCCAGGACTCACACTCGGGGACTCGAACGCAGGACGTGGCTGTCCTGATCTTAACTGCTGTGCAAGCACCTGCCCCACATCCTCTTTCAGTGTCTGAAAGATTTGTTCATTTGTATCGGAAAGGCAGATTTACAGAGGGAAGGGGAGACAGAGGTCTTTCATTCGCTGGCCCGCTCCCCCAATGGCCACGATGGTAGGAGTTGAACCGATCTGGAGCCAGGAGCCAGGAGTCAAGGAATCAGGAGGTGCTTCCAGGTCTTCCATGTGGGTGCAGAGGCCCAAGGACTTGAGCCATCTTCCACTGCTTTCACAGGGTAGCTGGATTGGAAGTAAAGCAGCCAGTGCTAGAACTGGCACACAAATGGGATGCCAGCACTGCAGGCCGAGGATTAGCTGGTTAATCCACTGCACCAGCCCCCCTTCCAATTATCTTTTTTTTTTTTAATTTTAAATTTTATTATTTTATAATGTGGTTCTATAGGCTCTGGGATGTCCCTACTTTCCTTATATTATTACAATAGTATAGTCCTTCATAAATAGTCCTAAGTCTGTCATTCTGCTATTTAGGTGCATCCTGACATTGTAGGTGTCATTCCCTGAATGGTTTGAAGAATCCTTGTATGTCAGCCACTTCCCCACCCCCTCCATGGGAGAAGGCAAATCACTATGACACAAGTTTGGCTCAGGAAGTAGAACGTTTTTAGGGACTCTACCTATTTTAAAGATAACGCCATGCATCTTTCAGCATTCAGGGGATTTATGAAGTAAACACCAGGTTCAGAACATCATGTTATAGGCAAGTGTAAAAATCAAAATGTGTTTATACATATAAAGTGTTATTACAGATCAAGTAAGTCTTTGCCTCTAAAATACAGTTATCTGACAATCACAGTCATAAAACATCATCAACGTTTATAAGTCGATTGCCTTTTGAAATACAGAACTTGGGGCAATGGAGACACTGCCATCATTGCATATCTTTTTCGTAAACAGAGAGAAACCTGCCATCGGGATTAGCATTAGCACAGGACAGACATGATTATTCTGTTATTTATTTTTCAGGCACAGATATTATAGAACCAATCCCTGGTACAACTTTCAAATATCTCTGATAAAAGGAAAACTTGAGGGGGGGAGGAAAGAAAAATTCAGTGGTACAATTTTCCTTCAATAAAGTGGTGAGTTAAGCGTTTGGTTGTAGAGAAAATTGGAAATACGTCATCACAAACATAAAGGAAGAAAAACGGGAAAGGAAAGAGAGGAGGAAGGCAAGAAAAGGATGGGGAGTGTGGTTATTGGCTTAGAACTGCACCAAGGAAATACATTAACTCTGTTCTTCATATTAATGAAAAATTTAAAAAGCACATGGTGTATTAATTGCACTGGAATAGTTGAAGAATGAGTACAAAGGGGCCCAGCACAATTGCTTCATCGGCTAATACTCCCCCTGCACGCGCTGGCATCCCACATGGGCCTGGTTTGTGTCCCGGCTGCTTCACTTCCCATCCAGCTCCCTGCTTGTGGCCTGGGAAAGCAGTGGAGAATGGCTCAGGGCCTTAGGCTCCTGGTTCCTGGCTCCTGACTTAGCACTGAGTCAGCTCCAGCCACTGTGGCCTTGGCGGGTGGACCAGCGGGTGGAAGATCTTAGTCTCTCATCTCTCTGTAAATTTGGCTTTCCAATAAAAACAGATACACCTGGCAATACAGAGATGAAAACTCGCCTTTTTTTACACTTTAATTATCTTATTTATATGAGGTGAACACATGCCTTGTGTTTCATTTCCCATCCTGCCATCCCTCCTGCTTTATTATTTTTAATTTTTGCAATGACATGTTTTCAGTGTATTTTGCAGTCAGAAGCTGCATCCTCCACTGAATGAAGAATTCCACAAGTAGAGCAGCACAGCAGGACACGCAGCTGCTCCTCCAGTGCGCGCACAGGGCTGTGAACGGCAGTCAAATCTCCACATCCCATTTTTGGCACTTTGTATACCAGTTAGCACAAATCAGAGAAAATACGTATTATAAAAAAACCCTCCCTCGATTGCATCTCTGCCTTCGTCTATCGCTTCATCTCTCACCATCTCTCTGTGACAAATCACACTGGTACCATTTTTTGGTCCTTTTCTGTTTTCTCTTTCCCCCTCTCTTCTACATGCACTCCGGTTAGGCTTTCGCTTACACAGGACTCCACCACAACTGTTCTTACACAGGTCACCCACGACCCTCTCGCCCGGTCCAGTGGTCAGCTCTCTGTCCTGGTCTTCCTTGACCGCCCAGTGGGGTTTCTCAGTGAGTTACCCCTGCCTCCTTGGAAGATTTTCTTTACTTAAATCCCACAATGCTTTGCTTCCTCCTGCCTGTCTAAGTGCTTTCCCACCT